CAAACTCTGTAGAATGCTATTTTTGCAAAGACACCAAATCTGAATATTTTGGTTGGAAGTGACAAATGCTAAGCGGATGGAACATTACTGTTGCTCCAAATTTATTTCGGCAATTATACACCATAAATTCTACTACTCAACAAAGCCAAGGCAACATACCGCAAACAGGAAGCACGCTTTCGCTTTACGGACGCGAATGAGCCCAGCCATTACCTCCGTATACCACCTGCACGGGTAGAAGAATTTTTTGACGTATGAGTAGAAGAAGATTATCTGCCGGAAGCTTAAGAAATTCTAATTATTTTGAAACCTATATTGGACGTCATTAGCCTATGCAAAGAGGACCGCCCAAATTTAAAATTGAATTATGATACAGAGTGTCCTATAAATAAAGGTCATAGACCATACCTATGCAACCGTTAATTACACAGCCTGGGGAAAAAGATTTTGTTAACAAAAGAGCTTAAAAGAAATCTCTGGACACTATTCTCAAGTTTCTTGGTTTGCCACTAGAGGCGTAGGATTCATGCTGAAGTAGAAAAATATATTTTTTTCTTAAAATGCACATAAAAATACATGCATCGCAATCATGTATGAATTTTGCATAATTCTGATGCAGCGCGTGTCGCTCTGCTCATAAAATATGAGGGGTGGGGGAATGGGAACATCTCTTTAAGGAGTTGAATGTAACTTCGGTTTAGGTTAACCGGTATTCACATAATTGGCCTTATGGGTAAGAGCTTCTCAAATTTTAAAGTATTTTTAGTAAATCTGATGAGTGGTAGAGGACGCGGTTTGGCATTAACAAACTTGTAGGTTCTTTTAAAAATTTCAAATGGAACGATATAATTATTATATTATATTATTAAATAAGATGGAGAAGTAAAAATATCAGTGAAAATCGCATCTTGATATGTTTTGTGAATGTGTGTTTTTTTGGGTCATATCCCTGCTTAGGAAACAGATATCAAAATCCGGTTTTCACTGATATTTCCACTTTTTCATTTTATTTAATAATATCATATAATAGTTACACTGTTCCATGTGAAATTTTCAAGAGAACCTGCACTTTATGTTAATGTAGCGCTCTATACCGTTCATCACATTTATTAAAACTCCATTCATGTAAAAACTGATTACACGAAGAGAGCTATTTTCAATAAAACCAATTATGTGAAAATCGGTTAATCTAAACCGAAGTTATACTCCACTCCTTACAGAGATGTTCCCCTTCCCCTGCCCCTCATATTTTATAAATTAGAGCAATACACGCTGCATTAGAATGATGGAAAATTCGTACAAAATTGCGATGCATGTATTTTTTATGCATGTTTGTTGGGTATATTTGAGGAAAAAAAGCCATTTTTCTACTTAACCATGAATCGTACGCCCTCTAGCGGCAAATCTAGAAACTTCAAAATAATTTCGATCTAGTTTGCACAATACTCTCCCGTTACCCTACTACTTACCCTTAATCAATCGGAAAAATTCCCTGAGAGTCCCAAAAAATACTTGCCATTATTTTTCTTTTCCTGCAGAAGGGGTGACACTTATTTCGATTCAGTATCATACTGATGAACTCAGGTTTCATCTCCAGTGACAGGTCCATTGATAATTAACTCTGGTTGATCTCCACAGCGCGACATGGATTGTTCACAGGCCTCTACGCGGATAGGCATTTAGAATAGCGAAAGCATTCGCGGAAGCCATTTTGTACTAACCTTTGGCGTCCCAAGGTATTCGATTAGAATTCTGAAAACCGTGGTTTCTGAAACTCCTAGTCAAGCTGCTAATTGTTGCTTCTTTAGTCTTCCATCCAACACATATATTTATTTATTTATTTATTAAAATTTTATTGAAAAACAGCATCAAAATTCAAAACACCCTAGTCTGGGAATATAAAAACGACGCCTCGTATATTGATTCTACAATCAAACAAATGTTTTGCTTTCAAATTTGAACTTTAACATTGATTACAAGAGTATACAAATAGCGGATACAGGCTGATTGAAATTCGAGGGCCACCATGGGGATCTCGGGAACTGTAAGAGATAGATAGGTAGTTTAAATTTTGGAAAAGTTGCGTATTTTGATGCTTAACAAAATGCAGTTTTGAAAATTAACAAATTTCGACTACTTATTCGGAGATATCCGGAAAACATAAAAATTTTGCAAAATCGTTTTTATTTTTTACTGAAGTTATTTATTAAGTTACTTTAAGATATTTGGAAATAAATAACACATTATTCTGGTCACTTTTTTACCTCTACAAGATGCTAGTTTCAAATTTTAAATTCAACGTTTCGTCTCCGGTTGAGCATCATGAACTTTGTTTTTTCTTATGGAAGTAATTTTTACCTTTGCGGTTATTTGATAGAGTATTCAAAAGAGAGTTCAATATAAACATCGCAATTTTTTTAAATTATTAAAATATTTTCTTTTTTCCCTAGAAAACTTTTCCTTAAAACTTAAATAGTATACGTACGTAGTTTCTTGCGTTTTTACGAATTAATATTAAATTAATATTAATGATTAAAAGATAGTGATGTTTACATTTTTGAAATCAGAAAAAAATTCTCCAACAAATGACACAAAAAGTAAAAATTACTTCCATAAGAAAAAACAAAGTTGACGATGGTTGACTGGAGACGAAACATCAAACTTAAAATTTAAAAGTAGCATCTTGTAGAGGGACAAAAGTGGCCATAATAATATATCATTTATTTCGAAATATCTTTTTAAATAATATCAGTAAAAAATAAAAACGATTCTGAAAATTTCGGTGTTTTCCGGATATTCGGAATTTTTTTAGTTTCAAAACTGCATAAATACACAACTTTGCCAAATTTAAACTACCTACCTATCTCTTACAATTCCCGAAATCCCCATGGTGGCCCTCGAATTTGAATCACGCTGTATACCTCAGGTGCTTGTTTCCCCCAACTACGTTTCGGCCAGCAATCTGTACCTTCGGGATTAAAACACACATTTTAGTCCCTTGGTATACACATAATAAACTATTTTGTTCCGATAAGAAACCTTAAGGTTGATGGCCCTCACCTATTTAATTGAGGTTTAATTATGTTCCTAGTGTTAAGAAACGTAATTGGTTAATAGATTTGAGATTATCGAATTGGAATATAACACACCCTCTCTGCAGGAAATGGCTTAATACTAGGATTAAGAATAATACCATGTTAGCACCTGGACCTAAAAAGAGTATAAGAAGATTCGAAAGATTCTAATTATTTTTAAGGTTATGGAGGTTTAACCTCTCTAAAGGATTCCTGGAATAATATTCTACAAAAACTAAGAAATTTAAGGCTTCATTTTATCAGCCATATCTCTCTTTGAATTGCTAAGTTTCGCGGTAAAACATTTTCCAGTGTCGTAGCTTGTGTTGTTCTCTTTTAATCAAATGCATATAAGCGCGCACGATACCAATTTAAAAACTGCCAGGATATGTTCCTTCACAATAGAGGTTATCTCAAATTTGGGACACTCTGTATACAATTTTATTACATCAAAAAGAGCGCAGTTTAAAATACTAGTTGACGTATCTGAGCATATTACTGAAACAAAAACCGTCTTTGATTGACTGAACTTATTCCAAGTTAGACTAACTCTGTATGCCCTACTGGTACGGGGACACACTTCCAATTTTCAAAAATTTTCAAAATTCAATAGCGTGCTCTACGCATCATTGTGGCGGCAGGTTACCGAGATGTTGTAAAAGTCACTTTACGGAAATGACAATTTTAACTCTATCTTGCTTATACAGCTAGAAATGTTGGATTTTTGTAAACAAAATCAAAGATTACATTATAACTAACTAACACAATAATCAACTTTACTAGACTAAGGAGCACACAATCAGCGATTAATTGCTATGGTCCTTTATTTTTGAATAAAATATGACAGTCAATTAAAAGTCTGGAACACGCACAAATTAAAAAAAATAATGGAAAAAACATTTTTATGGGCAGTGTCCATTTGTCCAACTTATGTGATGACTAAAGTTTTTTTGCAGTACCAGTTTCTGTGATTCAATAAAGGAGTAGATCACAATTAATTAGCAGCGACAGATAGGCCATGACAGAAAACGTGCTCCCTTCTAATTGTCGTCTATGGGGTTGCGTATTAATTCCAATGATTACGTATTTAAAATTCATCTTTAAAAAAAAGCTAACTTGCTAACTTGCAAATGGTTTCATACTGTAATAACAATGCACCCACCGAAAAATATTTGTTCATCCCTGAGACATAAATTAGGGTCCGTATATAAAGTGAGACGGAAGTGTGTAGAAATGAGATTAAAGCAAGCGTAATTAACTACGTTCATCATCCCTTTTTTACCGAACATTCCCGGTTAAAAATGTTGATGTATATTTCCCTGAGGCTAATCACAATGAATTGCTCGTACAAATTTCGTATAAACCTTCACTCGATGAAGAGGTTTCGAGGAATGCAGAAATTTTTCATTAATATTAACGCTAATCGTCTTTTTGGTATATTTTCAGCCAGACTCGTAAATCTGTTGTTGGATTTGTGTTTTCCGGGAGTAAAGCGGTGTAGCTTTTCTATAAAAATTTATCAGGACAGTGACCTTTGCAGAGATCGAAATACTCGTGCGAAATGAAAAGTGCTTCGCTGAGTGGTATATTACATTACTTCCAGTTTTAGCCGCAAAATTATCCATTGCCCAACTGCAGACTGGGTAATGTAAAGTGGATAGATTGAATTTATACAACGTCCGTTTCTCTTCTTCGTTTTATTCTTTTGCCGACATTGATCTTTTCTTTTAAAAGCATTTAAAAAATTCATCAAAACATAATCATTTTAGTGGGAAATGAAAATTGAATGTTAATTTAAATGTCCCAGATGAAACCCGGAAAAGCAATTTAAATTGTTCTTAACACGAAACATATTGCGGATAGGAAATTAAATCTTTTAATGAAACCAACACAAAGAGCATACTTATAAGTTCTTTATTGTTTCAGTATCGTAATCGAAGACTTTGATTCGGCTAAAAACACGAGCAAAGATGACTGTTTAACGCAAGAAGCTCCCGTGTACCAAAGAACACAGAGGCCTTATACAAGGCAGACATCAGATGCGACAATTAGAAAAATATTGGTGAGTTTGAGTACCACCCGAAAGTCAGTTTCAATTAGGTCCATAGATCTTCAAATAATGTAGCAGATGAATTATTCTTATTCCTTTTGCATTGCAGGAAGAAGCGGAACATCGAAAACACGAATTTTGGAAGTTAATCGATGAACACTCGGCAGTTGTTGAAAACTTGAAGAAAATGGAGCTAGAAAATACCGGCCCGATATGTAAGGCAACGCCTGAAGCTGCATCGATACGTACTTAGAAGGTGCTTAGGATTTAAAAGTCATACTGTACATATTAATGTAGTAAGATTGCATTTAATTATTGAGATGTTGTACATATTTTTAAATGGTTCTAAACATCAACGAGATCTGGAAGTAAGTCTGGTCTCGCATTTGCCTTTTGAACTGTCGTAATGGGGTAATAACAAGCGCTTTTCCACATTTAGTGCGCACAAGAAAGTCAGTAGATTAATGAAAATATGTAAAAAAAGAGAAATGCTCAAAGCATTTTGTAAGACTGCAATTCATAGTTTAAGTAAATTATTATCTTAGTTTAGTGTAAAACATAGTCAGACCTAATAAACCTATCTTCCTAATATCATGTATTTATGAATTTTGTATGCTAATTAAATTATCTAGACGTCTTCTGTTCTTTACGAATGAAATTCCTTGGATAATAAGAAGTTTACGTGCAATATAGAAGTGTTATATTCTAGGGCTAATATAATTACGTTCGGCGAGCACGAAAACCTAGGAAGAGACAACCCATTATGTCCGTGCTAAAAAAGATTACCCTATGTTAATTTTCGTGGAAGCTCAGGTTTTTGGTAAAATAAATCTAGAATTGCCCACCAGTAGATGCTATAGTCCCAATGATATATAACTCCGAGCCTCTTGTTACTTTTCTTAAGATACACTAGACTAGAAGACCCAAGCTTTGTTACCCCCTTACGTACCCCACGAGGGCTTAATTGGCCCTATATGCATTTCAAATGATTTTTGTGTTTCCGGTCGTATTTTTAGATGGTTTATCTTTATATACAGGCCTGCTCAACCCTATGCCCGGGGACCAAGACGTGGCGAATTTGAAATGGCCCGGATCTTTTAAAATCACCGACAAGTTCTGCTTGCTGCGGAAAGTAAGTAGGTACCTCGACCACGGTCACCTAATCGCCTCCCCGCCCTCACAGTGCGTGCTTGTCCTGTGACGCCGAGGAAGCCTATTGAATAGAGATTTCATTTTTTATTGCACAAGTCCTAAGACTAAAGGGTGTTTTTTAGACGTTTGTTTTTCGAATTGACGATACTGTTTCTAGTAAGAAACAATTTGAAAGCTGACTGATTTGTGCTCATCAGTAAGGTTTGCCATTTCAACATCAATAGACTTACACCAGAACAACGCATGCAAAATTCGGTGAATGGGCCGGAGACAAGGTTGCTCTTGACAAAATTGACAGAATAGAAGTGAAGAAAATCCAGAAACCATTGTTAAATCCACAAAAAATATCTGTTTCGTGTGATTTATAGGCTGTGGGAATCATTGGTTCATATTTCGGCGAAGATATTCTTGGCCAGAACGTGAAAGTCAATGGAGACCGCTATATAGATCCATTATTACTACCTTTTTCGTGCCACAATTGAATGGCGTTAATGTGGAAGAGTTTTGGTTTCAACAAGACGGCTCAACATGCCCCACCGCGTTCGAAACATTCAATTCATTGGAGGAAACGTTCGATGCGCAATGGATCTGTGAATTGGCCTCTGCGATCTTGTGATATCACACCTATGGGTTATTTTCTGTGGGGATATGTGAAGTATCGCGAGCCTACGCCGATAAACCACTACTTGTGTAGTTTCCAGGAAGGTTAATCTTTTAGGGCAAGTAAAACAGAGACAAAAGGTTAAGCTACTCCCTATTTTGTACAAAGTAAATAAGTATTGTATGCAATTTATTACAAAATGTGCCGTTGGCGGACGGTTGGTCACTAATAGAAGAAAACAGCGTGATGCACCAAATTTGTGGCTGCGGCGGGGATATTCTTGCCACCCTCGTTAACGACAAACTTTTCTTTTGAGACGCGTGGATACTCTTGCCACCCTCACGAAAGCAGGACAATAGACGGTTTCTTTCTTTTTTCTTAACCAGCCTGGAGAAGACGACGCAGCGATGTCTTGATGCAGAAAGAGAGCGTGGAAGTTGTCTCCATACTTTTAAATTACGTTTGCGCGCGGTGCGTTCATGGTAAATACGTCAACCGTATTCGTGTTTGATGTTGTCGTACTGGAAATTTCCAAAAATCTTTAAAAAAACGTAGGCATTTTATTTGAAAAACAAAAGTTTCATCGATTTCCGGTTTAACAGGAAGTGATACGGAAAGTTTCAATATGCGATCGGATAGATGGTGATATCACATACAATAGTATATTGAAAGACAAGTGTTACAATGCGACCTATTGTAATACGACTATCTTGCGGCACGAGTGGCGACGCGAAGCGTAGCCACGAGTGTCCGCAAGATAGGAGTATTACAATAAAGTATTGTAACACGCGTTTTTCATACTATTTTTTCTATTTCGGTGCTTTAATTTAATTAAAAAAATCATTATCAGAAACTATAGGGAACATTAGAACTAACATGTTTTATGTTGGGAACACTTTTTATGCCATTAAGTTTTAGGTTGGCAGCGTAGTAAGACTGACATTTTGAAGTTCAAACATGGAAGTACCCAACGAAGTACCTACTTGTACTAACTAGTAACTGCCAACTTAAGAGATGAGTTACCAAAAAAAACGACTATAATCACTGTCTTTGTACAGCTGTTTTAGGCCGAAAACAGTTGCACAAAATCATCATTGTGACACCGAAATAGAAAAAATTATATTTGACCATATTTTCGAATCTCCCCCAATAAAAGAGATATTGAGGTGACTCTCTATATCTTGAACACACTTTACATGAGAAATCGTAACTATAAAAGAACAATATTTATGGAAAGTTAGACAAAATGAAAAACGATGCGTCAGTAATGAGGCAAAAGTAAATTTCATTTAATTAATCTAGTGCCAAATAAGAAAAAGTGATAAAGCCATAAATTTAATTCTTAAATGTGGTCAATTGACGCCTCCTGGGGCTTCTAGTGTTAAAATACTTGGTGGACGAAATGTCTTTAGTTGCGAAAAAAAAACTACCTATAGACGAGGGAGTAGCAAATTTAAATCCAATGTGGCAGAAATCGATTCAGCCGTTTAGCCAGAAATGAGAGTACAGACCGACCGACAGACGGACATATTCGAAATTTTGTTTGATTCGGATTCCTGGTGCTTCAAAACGTGCATTTTCGTAGTAAAAAAAGTGGAGGGGGGGAGGGCGAACATAAAATGGGGTAGTGACAGATATGGGGGCACTGTAATTATGGGTACGTCAATTTCAGGATAAACTAAAGTCGTCACTACTTGGATCGTGTATGGTTAGTTGCCTATAATCCTGTAGTGTTGAACAAAAAACCAAATTTATTAGGAAACTCGTCACTTTTCAAATGACGACATACAAACCTCGCATTAAGTTAAAATGGGACCAGTAATATTACAAGCATTAAAGCATAAACAATCTATATCACCTGTGGAAGTCTAAAAGCACTAATACGTCAAAAATATCGGTTCATTATTAATTATTTTTGCAATTGTATTGTATTAAGAGAAGATAAATTGACAAGAGTTTTCCTCTTACAAAGAAAACACATTATTGTGTTGCGTAATTGCGTCTATATTTTCTCCATTTGGGACGCATTTTTTTGTGAATTTAATTACCTTTTCTTATCTTTAGTCTCAAGCGACTAAACAGATTTGGAGGATTTTATTTTTCTTTGGAATAGTTAACATCTCTGCAAAGTGTAAATTTGAGCAAAGGTCAAAGGTTTCAAAAAATATTTGCTCATTGACAAAACCTATGTCAGCGTTTTGAGCCAATGCCCATACTTAAAATCATCTTCACAGGAATGCATACTAACATTTTCCAGATTGCGGCAGATTGACTTTGAGGTAAATGGAACACTTTTAACCACTAGTAAAAATAAAAATTGAAATTTGCTACACATGTGCAATTTGATATATACTGTTTAAGAATATTCATAAAAATTTGGGCTGCTATTTACAATTTGCTGTGGCTAGCACAGACACACCTGTGCATGCGCGTTCTGCCTAAAAGCTTTCCAGCTCTTTTTTTATGTCAATATGTGTATCAAATTTGGTTTCAATCGGCTCAGACATTTAGCCGAAAATTAGAGTACAGACGGATCGACAGACAGACCGACATTATCGAAATTTTTAGGTGCGTGAAGTACTATACTACTATAACAGAAAATTGATCGTGATCACTGGGACGCCATCTGGATTCAATTAAACACAAATTGATCATTTACACACGAAACAAATTTATTCAACAATAATCAACTAACTATGCTAAAAAAAAAGGCACTCAAGGCCTGAAAACAATGTACTCTGCACATGTGATCGACCACTTGACTAACCAAAAGGCCTCTCTTACGCGTACAATGCCTGGATCGACAAAAGTACTCACAATACACTGAATATGTGACAAACATTCGACCTATTCACTGTTCTAACGAATATTTCCCTCATATGTCATAAATGCCATATGAGGTGTGCAATTATCGCTCAATTACAGCGAATATTTCCCGAACAAGCATTACTTGTCAAACTGACGTTACCTACTTATAAATTGTCGGTGTATCGTGAAATTGTCCAAAGGAGTTGCCAGTTGCCATGGATATGGACAGTGCAATTATCGCAGGGCTCTTTCGCTTTCTACAGTGCAATTATCAATAGTAATATAACAAGGGCGACACATGCTTACCGATAATTTTGCCCACGCGAGGAATCACGAGTGCTGGTTGCACTGAAAACTAGTTTTCTAAGGGCAACCAGTACGAGGATTCTTCGCAAGGGCAAAATTATCCGTAAGCGTGTCGCCCGCGCTTATATTCTGCAGATAATTTCACGAAACACCGTAGAGATTGTGATTAAAAATCGGGTGAATATTACCGTGAAATTCTAGTTGCTTGTTCTATTCAGCATTTCTATAGCAACTAAAACAATTTATACCAACAAATCTCAAATTTGACCAGTGCGTCGGTTATTTATAGTAATACACCTAATATTCTGCGCGAATCCTGCTTTCTGCTGGACAAATATGAGCACTACGCGATTCGGTGAGGCTTCCAAAGCTACTATTAACGTGGCTATCGATCAAGTGACGCCAATAAATACTAAGAGATCGAATGGTTACGTATGGAAGCAGTTTCATGAATTTTGCGGACAACGAGGTTACGAATTAACAAGAACGACGCCCACCACAAAACTTGCCCTAATTATGAAGGATTGGGGGTACAACATGAAACAGAAGAATGTAGAAGACTATAAGGAATCGGTGATAAAAACAATGTGGAACGTGACCGCCAAGCAGCTTCAAAAATTGTATTTTCAAGAATTCGGTGTAAGGTTTGATCCATTTTATGACGTGGAGTTTAAACAAAGTCGCGCCGCCCGAGACACCAAAAGACGTGAACTGCAGAAGCTGCCTGAAAAACGGAAGTGCAGCTCATCTGCCCTGAGTGATGCGGAATATAAAGATATTGTTTCAAAGCTCGACGAGGATACACCTGACGGTTTGAAACGAAAATTCTACTACATTGCTAGCTATGTAGCACGACGAGGTAAGCAATTCCGGCGTCTGGTCCGGAAGAATAGAATACAACCCAGTATTTAGTAAGACTGCACAAGGTGGAGGTCGGAAACTAGCAGACAGCAAATGGCTGGTAGCTAACAGGGAGAAGTCGGAATTTTGTCCTGTGAGGTATCAATTGTTATTTTGTAAAATTACAAGTTTATTTAGTATCATCTGAATAATTCAGGTTATTCAAGAAGCTCCTGAGTAAGATAGGACCAAATGTTACTACAAACAGGCTGTTCCTGACTCCCAACCCACTATGGAAGGATCCTTCTTCCGTTGGCTGGTACAAAAATTCTCCTGTTGGAAAAAATCAAATAGGGAAATGGACGAAATCTGATGCGAAACAAATCGGCGTTGATACAACAATAACGAAAATCACCAATCACTCTTTGAGATCCTCAGCAGTCTCCCATTTGGCAAGAGAGGGTGTTGGCGAAGAGCAGTTAATAAAGATTACTGGACATGCGAGCACAGCTTCCATTAAGCCCTACCTCCAGCTGGATTCATGTCATCATGCTAAAATAATAGGAAAAATGAGGAATGAAGCATCATCGTCCACTTATTCTTCAACTTTAATTACAAGTTCCAGCTCATCGAGCTCCTCAACAAATCTTGAAAAAGAGTGTGACGTTAGCGCAAAAAAACCTAGAATTATGAATTTTTATAATTGTACCTTTCATAGCAATCAATTTTGATTTTTCAAAGCTTGTATAATTTAGAGTTTCAACTCTTCAAGAAAAGAAATAATTGCTTATTCTGTTGTTTCTTTCTCCAGCTACGATTATTTTTGAGTTTTCATTATGACGCGTCGTATGCGGGACGTCACCAATAATCTTCCCTAGGGCGATTATCGCGATAACCATCCCTAGAGAAATTATCAGAAAATGAGATCCTGATTGGGCAGTTTTTTCAAAATGGACAGTTTTGATTTGGCCGCGTCAGTCATGTGACAGTTGAGTGTAATTATCCCCTAAATTACACTCGTGCATCAAAATAAACCTGATAATTTTTTATTCAAGCATGTTGTCAGTAAAAAACTGCATTCGGTCATTTTCATATTTTGTTAAAAGAGCCCTCCACCTTCGGTGTCGGACTCTTTCGCCAAAATTTTAAAATAAACTCATGCAGTTTTTAGACAACAATGCTTTCAAAAAAATTATCGGTAATTTTGATGCACTTGTGCAATTACCTACGACAATTGAACTCTTGAACTATCCTCTGAACTCTTTTCTTATACACAACCAACTTCTCACATCCACAAAGAATGACTGAAATTAACCGTCCTGCTCACGTTTCTTCTTCGTCTCTTTCTACTTACTGATCAACCAATCGAATCAACCCTTGACTACAGGTCATTTTCGACAAAACGACGGCCAGCTCACTCGTCAGTTTTGTTACGGAGAATCTGGGTCTGATTTCAGGATGTCCATAGCACGTATGCAAAACATGTTTTCCCGACTTACTCACCCGCCATCTAAACGACAACAAGTCACGATCATTAAAAGAAACTTGCTTCCATTTTATTTAGATAAATTAGGTCCTCTGCCTATCAAGTTCCAATCCATTCAGTAAATGGCCCATGCTGGAACTGCCAAAAATTAGGCCATACGATTTCTGAATGTCCCGAACGGAAATTGCTGATAAAAAATTGCGTTCGTTGTAACCGGATTACCAGGGACTCGGTAAACGCCAGTGGGGGAACTCGTCAAATCACACCACTCATTCAGGTCACACCGTTACTTTTCCCCACCTTTTGTCTAACACAGATGAAATTGGATTTTATTATTAAACACGTTTCTGATGATGCTCGACCTTCTATTCAAATCGCAATTCGTGGCGTTTCTCTTCTAAGACTCCTAGCTTCAGGTTCGCCGCATTCCATAACTAGAAAAGAGGGGTACAATATGTTAACGTGTCTAGGATTTGCGAAACTACCACTTGTACGGTTGCGAATGTCGACAAATGTTACTCATCTGGATATATAACAACCCCAAAAACAAAATAGCTGTTATAAATTTAATCATGATTCTAAACGTATACCAAGATTTTTTGAAAGCCATAGGGATTGTTCCTATTCTAACAAATAATGTTTGGCATTTTGCACCATCACCCTCATTGGATAAAAGACAATCATTGGAGATTCTTCGTGATGACAAATGTTCATTCAGGGAATCCGTGTTAGGGTTAGTCATCGTTGGAGAGCATGAGACCATTGTTCTTTCAGAAGTAAAAAATATCAAACAGCGGCATTATCCCGTAAGCCCGATAAAACAAAAAATAATCAACAAAATGAGGTTATATGCTCTAATCTGGAATCATTGAGCCTTCTAAAAGTGGTTGGGCTTCCCATATTTGTCTCATACCCAAAAACGACCACACTTTTCGTTTTCATTGACTATCGGAAGTTGAATGCTATGGAGAATCAAAGACGCTTATCCATGGCCGTACGTTTCGTCAATACCCGCTTGATACTTGTATTTGACAATTTACAAGCTACTGGCTTGGTTGTGAACCGGGAAAAATGCCATTTTTGTCGCCCTAATCTCAAATAATTAGGATATTCTGAGGGTTATTATGGGTGGTACCCAAAGCCCGATAAATTAAAATACCAATTTAAATATTCAAATTCCTACTACGATCAATGAACGATTTCGGAGTGTCTGTTCATGGTATCGACGTTTCTTGTCAAACTTTCCTATGAATGTCTAGTTGTCTTCTGGGGTATTGAACAACACTACCTTGAAGGCGTTCATTTTACGGTAGTGACGGATCACCATTCACTTCTCTGGCTTCCCCCCCTCAAAGATCCGCAAGAACGGTGTCTAAACCGTTTCTACACCCTGTATACGCGAATGTTAAGCCATATTATCGCCGTTTGCACAATCAAATTTAACAACAATGTTGTTACAAGCTAAAAATGTTTATTTTTTTGGGTTAAAATGAGAATTATAGTGTTAATAGATGGCAGATGGATAATTAAAACAATACAGAATAATAAAAAACGTTTTATTTTATACAGTCACAGCCTCCTCATAATAGTACCTTCCACATATAAATATAATTTCTTATGTATTACAGAATAAATCTTGTGGTTTACATGAACATTGAAAGTGTATGAAACGTTAAAAATTATGACGCAGTACACTTTGAATTGGCACAATTACTTAACGATAATAAGTAAAGACATCGATGACATTGAATCAAACATATTTGGTAACAATTCGTTGTGTGTTATTGAGAAAATAACATTTAAGAAGTGTATACAGGACTACATTTTGTTTTCAATAGTATAGATATTAAAATACTCCCAAAGCATGTTTCGTTTGACCTTTTCAACGCACTGTAACAAAACAGTTTTGATACATTTTCGTAACATCGACCTAATCTAATCTTTTTACGAAGATTAGGTCGGTATTAGAAAAAATAGATACTAATACAGGTTTATGGCGGTTAAGCTCTTAGGATGTTCCTAAAGTGACTCTAAGTATTCTCTTGAAAACAAAATGTTGCGCCTGTATACCTAGAGATTGCAAGTAATTTTGAATTTAAAACGATAATAGAGAGAACATGAATGGCAACAAAACCGAAACTAAGCGTATAGGTAAACAAGCAATCAAATGAAATATCGTGTTCCTTTCAGGTCCAATTTGTATACAGCTGTACGAATCTATAGGGTTGAGCAACCAGAAATGATTACCTACCTATCTAAATTTGTACGTGTTGAACAAACTGCAATGGGTTTGGTCCCATCTAACTTATATTTATGACTGCTGTGAATGGAATCGTTGGCAATTACGGCTTCAAATTATAAAGCAGTAAATACAGTCATATGTCTGATACGTACGTCATAAGTTTCCAGAGTAAGTATAAACTCTTAAATTATTTGTACAGCATGTATTAGGGGAAACCCACCAGAGACCGTTATATGTACTTGAAACGTTTTCTTTTACGACTTTTCGGGTAAAATCGATTCCCTACGTTGTACAATGTTTTATGAGAAAATTATATTTTCATTTCGAGGATAAGGTGAATGCAGTTTTTGAGACATTTCACTAGGCAAAGTACCTATACTTCATAGCTACAGAAAAGTAGCTTATAGAGAGCTAACCGCAAATCCACTTATGTGAATTGTCTACAATAGATGCACACCTTTCACAATTTATCTTGAAGGTACGAAGAAAAAGTAAATTACATTACTTGCAATCTACCTGCGGAAATTAATTTACAAAAGTCCAGCTTAATTACTTCCTGACCTCACACCTCCTCTATCACTTAGAATCTGAATAAATTTTCTATACATCACAAAATTCCATTTCAACAGCCTTCGTCGTTATACCACAGGAAAATATATTCTCTTAAACAACGCTAGCACCGTGTTTCATTCCGCACTCTCCGTTTTTAATAACCACAACATCCTGACCCTTAGAAATCGCGAAACTATCAATCATACTCTTCGATAACCTTAGGGGTGGATCTCTGGAGATCACGATTCTCGGCGGTTCCTTCAACGTTTTCGGAGTGTCGGCGTCCGATACCACCCCCGAACTTTCCGGTCTAGCTATTGGCACCAGTAGAAATTCGCCGCAAGGTTTCGCGGTGAAACAATCCCCTTGCACGTGATGAATGAACGATGCCGGATCGCCGGCCGTAACGACGCCGCTGGGCTGCAGCGGATCGGAGTTTTGGTGTTGGCTACGATAAGTGAAACCGAGCGCGGTAAGGAGATCGTCGATTACTTTTCGCACGGCGGCGCGAAGTTCCGAATTTCGATAACCGTAGACCCATGGGTTTATGGCGCTGCTCGCTAGGATTGGCAACGCCAAGTACACCGCAGCCCATGCAGTTAAGATGTTGGTTCCCACGAAGACGTCCATTAACATGCAGGCCTGCAAAGAAAAAGAAAACTGAGCATCTTTGGAAAAAATGAAAGTTATAGTTTAACAACTCGAGCCGAAGAGAATGCATGTGATTTAATATAAATTTTCTGTACCCTACAGCGCGTAAACCCCACGTCTACATTTTATGTCGTTGATAGATGGTCGCACAACTGAATAAATGGCATCTTAGTACAAAATTACAGAACTCTTTCAATGTATTGCATCGTGGATTACCAGATTGACGCAGAATAGTTTCCCAAAACACGTGTCATAACCCTGAGCTTATTTGCGATTACAGTTATACTTTTTCAAATGAACAAAATCACCTAATTCCTTGAGCATTGGAGCAACGCAGATTATAGCATAGTTTGTGTTTATACACAACATTTTAAAACACGAGAGAAAAGGGACTAGAGTATATAGAGAACAAATTAGAGAGAATTATTGCGTAAACAACATCATGTAGACGCTATTTCGGTCTAAAAACCAAAAACATTGACGGGACATCCCGGATATGACAATATTTCAATTTACTAAATGTAAATCTGGGAGATTATTTACGAATAACCACAAAGTTGGTTTATTTTACTTGAATTTGTGACTCTGTGTTATTTTTCCTTTATAATTGTTTGAATTATTTTTTTGTTTAAATTTTATCGTTTTTTTAAATTTATTCAGTTTTGATAAAATGCTTTAAGTTAGACACATCTGATGACGTTTGTGTACTTTATAAAAGCTTTTATCTGGTTGTTTTTCTCCTTCGGAGCTGGAGTATCAAAACTAATTGTAATTGGCCATCGACGGCGTCGTTCTAAGTTCTTAAGAAGGAGATTATTTTATGGTGGTAGTGGCGTTTCTTTAAATACTGGAATAAACGTAGAAAGACGGGTGCTGCTGCTACTAGCTGTCAGTTTTTCGGTAAAAATAGCCTATAAATTTGTTTGCGTTAAATCTCAGGTATTCAGTTCTGGTGGTATGCTAAAGGCGCAGTTCGTGGGTTTCGAAATAAAGTGTGCAGAAGAAAGTAAAAGAAAATATTTAAGTTATCGTCCAGTGAAGTAGTAAAGTTTGTGGAAAGTTTTTAAAACGGTTTGTTCCGTATTCAGAAAAAGTTAGTACGAGTGGGAGTCAACGAGAATTTTCTCGTCGTATTTATTCCGCCAGTATTAAAAAAGAAGTAACGTTTCCTGAAGCTGTCAACGAGTGTTTTTGTGTATTTGATAAGTGCACCTGAATATCATAAACCTTTGACGACAAAATTGTTAGGATTCTTTAAAAAACTGTACGGAATTTAAATATCGCCCGTCTGCGTGCGGGGTGTTATGTCCGAACAAGCTTCGTAAGCCTCTCTTTCTCTCAGGGATTCTTTTAATTCTTTCGTGCGTTTCGGAAAAAATTTTTAGTCATTATCAATCAATTAATTATGTGTTTATTCGAATCCATTGTACGACCCGGATAGAATTTTTTCATGTGAGTTTGTTTTTAACGTCCATGTTTTTTTAATTTTCTTCTAATTAAATGTTATTCCATAGTTTCTAATATAAAAGTATTAAATATGTGCAAATGCGGATCTTGTTTTTTTTTATATCATATGCGTGCGAATCCTGTGGAAATGATTTGATACAGTCGCATCTAATTCCCGTTCTCCTAACTCATTTTTTAATTCGGCCACATTTAATTTGTTGAGGGTTTTCATTATTTGGTTATTTATTTTAGAAACCCCACACATGGCCCTAATGTAGCGTTTATTTATTTTCAGTGAACCACTATTAAACTAACCTATTTACAAGCGAGAGTTTGAATAGTTAAATAGTTAAGTATTGTAGTAAAAACGTAGGTATATTCATTTTAACCATAAATAAATTATTCATTGAAAAAACCTAATGTTAAAGTTAGTCTGCCTGCCATCCAAGATAGTTATTTGTTATACAAGACGATAAAGGGATATTTCAACCATTAGTTTCCCTTTATCATCGTGTATAATACAAAACTTTATTTTGCAGCAGAAGCGACTAAATAAATCATTGTAAAGCTTCTAACAATTTTCAATTTAATTTAGACGTCAAAAATAGTAAGCTTAGGTTCTGCCATCGCAGTCGTTTCCATAGAAACCACATTACAATATGTTCTGAACGTCATTTTATATCGTGCTCCGCGCCCCATTTGAAATAAGAATGTTTTCTAAGTTTTCTAATAATATTAGCTTAAATCGTACATTTTACTACTTTTTTCTATTTGAAAGTGAGAAGCATGCAATACCCAGTTTTAGTCAATTCTTATGAAAACTTTTCATTCGGTTTCGGTTTAAACTTTAGCTTAGTGGATGGTGTGCATTCCATAGCTACTCTAATCCTAGGGAATAAGAGGAACAAAAATGCTTGATTATGCGCTGATATTTTAATAATGATCTCATTGCATTGTATAAAACTTCTTTGTACAATATAAGCTGCAGCAGATTTTTCGGATTAGCCGGTAATCGCAGCTTGAACGTATATACTAAGCCACTTTAAATAATTCCCTTTCACAAGTGAAATTATTCTCATTACTGAAACAAAATAGGATTATAATCTTAAAGAACGCATAATTCGGAAAGTACGTACATTTACGTTCGTGATTAAATGACACCGTACCCCAATTAGTAGCTGATTTGCAATTCTAGTTGATTAAGTTTGCTTAACTATTAATTTAAAATTAAAATAAGGTTTAGTTCGTTGTGTTTCCAAAGCTTATAATAAATCTGTTTTACACTGGACTGGATTTCAGGTTAAAATATATGTTGGATAGCAAAGAAAACTCATTTCGGCGAAGGGTTCCGGCAATATTTCATCTTTACCTTCTGAAAATCTTATTAGGCTACAACTAACTAACAGCTTAAACTAATTTCATGAAATATTCATATGCCTACGTTTGCTGCCATTGCAGGTTTTCTTTTAGTAAATACAGCGCACATACCTTGTTTCAAATAAAGGTGAGTCTAATTTTAGTTCTGTAATAAATGGAAAATATAGAATTCGTCCATTTTCCGCTTAGTCTTTGTTTTAGATTTAAAATATGCTGTTTAAATAACACACAGAAAAATAAATGTAAAGCCAGTTTCCCTTTAGCAACTCGAAAAACTGTCAACATAAAAATTGCTAGGCAACAGATTTTCATTACGTAAACAACCCAAATTTACTCGGTAAAATACAAACCTCCTGTGCAATTGTAAGTGACAACTGAATGGACTGAATAATTCTTTTATTTTATACAAATTTTTACCTGAGCTAGCTGGGAGCAAATGTATCAAAAAGGTAGGTAAGTTATAACTGATCGGTTCTCTTTAAGAAATTGCCCTAAATTCTATTGCAACTTTAATTGACTGGATGAAATTGAATTGATTTGTCGATTCGTCATTTAAACGAGAATATTCCTATAAATAGGCTCAATTTTATTAGCTATAAGGTATATTTTTTGTATAAAATTTCCGTATTTCTGATTGTTAATGAAAGGGATTCATTTCCAGTAGGTACTCGTCGTAAACGTCACAGAAAACTGTTACACTATGTGGTTAACTATTGGCTACCCTGATCACATTACCTAAAGTGTGTTTTGCAGCAGGCTCATATAACTCACTGTAACACTAAAAGGTTCAAAAAATTGCACCCCGAACTCCGAAAGAGTAGAAAATACTAGGGGTACTCTTTGATACTAGGCCGAAAAATGTTAGTGTTAGGGATTAGTTTAGAGGCACTAAACTAAATTTCCATCAACATTAAAAGGTTATACCATATTTGCAGTGGTTGATCTGTAATGTGCATAAATGACACTAGATTAATACACATTATAAACATAGCAATTTATAACTTAAAAGGAAACGTAGTATAAGTTTATAGTGCAGGTTTATGTCTTTCCTCTATAGTGTTTTACATTCCGTTCATTTTAAAACTATAAATCCTTTATGAGTATTTGGACACCGGGTTTCTTGCGGAAAAGTGTCTACACAAATAATTAAAGGGCATGCAACAGCAATTTGGTTACACAATGAAACTGGGGCACGAGGGAGTTCTCATTGTACAGGTCTTACAAAGAAAATATTCTACATCGTCGTTGTTGATATCTACCCTAATCTGCTTTTAGCACTAAAGCCGGGTACGTGACACAATATCAAGCTTAGTGATGTATTCTGCATTTTGATAGGGTGATCCAGTATGCAGTGCTGACTAACTTTTAAGGATAATTTCCATTTCACCTTCTTTTTTTTACTTTTGTTCGCGGGTATTTGAGTGCGACATATTTTTAACTGGTATTTGCCTCTTATAAGAGCAGCTTGATATGGCAAGGAAAAGGTGAAACGAATTTGCGCAAAATAAAGCCGCTACACCCGAAGGAGTTGTGACGCGTGTTTTTTACGCGTACAGTAAAATTGAAATGCGCTCGCGCAGATAGGTAGACAGTTTTCCAACAAAATTAATGCTTAAAGACGCTTCTTTATGCTACCGAGAAGCATAACCATATCCTTTTACGACTTGTGATACCTCGAGCCTCTTCCTTATTTTTCAGTATTATCGGCTCCTTTGATACTTCTTCGACCTCTCCAGATCATTAGATATGTTTGATTTTTTCAGTTTTTTCAATATTCCTTCCTCGATTTCATAACCGTTTTCTGTGCCACTAAGGACTTCAGCTTCCTTGACTTCTTTCGATTCTTCAGTTTCATTGATCTTCTCGTTTTCCTATTCTCCCTAGATTTCCTCTGTTCCTTGACCTCTCGCTTCTACAGAGTTGCAGTATCTCCTCTCTTGGTTAAAACGACGATTTTCAATACTTTCTTAACTAGGAATATCGGAAGTTGCTAAAGGTAGACTCGTTTATTTCAATTGGTAGTCTTTTTTGCTCCTTCACATCTTTCTACCTCTTCAGATTGCTCAGCTTTCTTGGTTTATTTGCCATCTTGACCTCATCAATCTTCTCGAGTTCTTTGGCATCCACTGCTTCTAGTCTTAGTTAGTTTCCATGTTAAAAGGCTATTC